CCAGAATTTCTGCTCAATTCTTTTTAATTATTTCAATCTCATTGTTAAGTTTATCTGATGGAATTCTGAATTTCTTCTCTGCTCTGTGTTATCTTGAATTTCTTGGGTTTCCTTAGCAGAGGTTTTTTTTTTTGTTTTTTTTTTCAGGAAATACAAATTTTCATGAAATTTTAAAATTCAAACCACAGCATGACATTAAGAAAACACAAATATTGCTTACCTAGAAGAAAAAGTATTTTGAACTTTTTCATAAAATAGGAACAAAGAAGTTGAAGCTTGGAGCGGTATAGTGAGAACTAAGGAATATGTGGGAGAGAAGGTAGAGTGAAAATAAAGTAGATTAGTTTTTTGTTGTTGTTGTTAGCACTAAACTGGTTTGCTTCAGGCCCCTAGCCAGGGTTGATTTTGAAACATATAGCAGAGCTATTTTGAATACTCTGAAAGGTCAAACATGTCTGTTTCTTCAGGATTGGTCCCTTGTGCCTTATTTGGTTTATTTGGTAAGTTCATATTTTCCTGGATGATCTTGATACTTGTGGATGTTCATCTGTGTCTGGGCATTGAAAATTTAGGTATTTACTGTAGTCTTTGCAATTTTGGCATGTTTGTACCCATCCTTCTTAGGAAGGCTTTCCATGTATTTGAAAAGACTTGAGTATTGTGATCTAAGCTGTATCTGCTTTAAGGGGCACCCTAAGTCCACTATAAAACTAATGATGAATGTGTAACAGATAGTGTTATAAAATTTAAAAAGAAAATTGTTACTAAAATTTTCATTGACAAAAACAGATCTGTAACTGTTTGAACTCCCCAAAAGGTAAGAATTGTACTTTGGCTCTGATTTATTAATATTATATATCCTTTACAAAATTTTACTTAGTATTATATGTTCAGTAGTTTTTATTTTCATTTATAAATATTATTTTGGTCATTTTTCTGTCCATCATAAATCCCTTTTTCCTTCATACTGATTTTTTCTACAAAGACCTTTAAAAAACTATTTACCTAGGATTAGTTGCAGCTGAGGCTGCACCATCACAAATCCAAAGATGCTCTTCTTGTATGTCAGAAAAAGATCAGTGAGGGAGATGAGTGTGTGCAATGCAGCTCTAAAGTCACAGGTGGACCTATAAACCACCATCATTGCTTTGGGAGACATAGGCAACAGAAATCTTAAGTGCTTCATGTAAACTAAGTCATTTAATCCCCATAACTACCTTATGAGGAAAGTACTGTTTCCATTTTTCAGATGGGGAAAATGAGGCTTACAGAGATTAAGTCTTGCCCATGTCTTTTGGACTCTCTCAAATATTCCTCCATAATTTCCCCCCAAAAAACCCTTTATAGTTTCCTGGATCTTCCCTTTAAGCCACACATTTCAGGGCCATGTCACTTGCTGTAGGCTGCCAGCAAATGGTAGCAGCAGTAGCACCAGCAGCAGCAGACTTACCAGATTGGCGTGCTCATTGCACTCAGCATACTAGCAGTACCAGGCCCAGTTGGTATTTGTTGATTGATGGTCAAAGTATCATCAGGAATGGAATGGCTTTCTGATCAGTATTATTGAAATATGTGAGGCCAAGGTACAGTTTTGCTTGGTAACATAAGCTTAAACTCACTCTTCAACTGAGAGATTGGATTTTTTAAAGTATATCTATATGGAAAAGATTGTTAATTTCATATGATCCATTGTAAAGCTGGACCTTCCTTTAAACAGTAGCAGAGAGAGGTGGTGGTGTGATTTATTTCACTAAGGACTTGCTTAGTCTTCAAATACAATTTCACTTGCAATTCCAATATTGGTGAAAATTTCCATAAAATCACCTATTTTATGGTATAAAACATATGAATTTTACATTATACTCAATAACATACATATATACACACATATGCATGTTACAATGTAAAAATTGTTTACATTACTTACCGTTGAGTTCTCTCTGTATAGACAGAGACCTTAAGACTTTAAGATACTAAGGCTTTTGGGTACAATAATACCACATTGTCCAGTTCAAGTCACTTCAAGACTTCTGGGTATAATAATACACATCTTCCTTTAAGACTTTAAGATTTCTGGAACAAAGTGTGATTATGTGTGAGGGATCAACTCTTTTATTATGTATAACTTATATTTAAAATGTTCAAAAGAGGAAAAATGATTTGGCTTCTTTAAGAAAGTCTGTTTTTGATGCAGTGTAATCTTTAAATGCTCCCTATAAATTACTTTTGATAGAAGCTGGAATCTTCAAGGAAGAAGGAACTAATGATTGTCTATGTAATCATTAGGTTGTGACATTCTCATCAGAGCATCTGTGGCAAACAGCTGAAGGTCTATGTGCTACTAAAGTGTTTCTGCCTCTTGAGTTGGCCCTGGAAGGTTAGTGATATGGAAATATCTGAGTCATAGAAAGTGTAGTTTCCAGTTTTGGCTCAGTTGTTAAACAGCTCTGTGACCTTATTCTAGTCATTTACATTCTCTGGAGCTCAGTTTCTTTATCCATAAAGTGAAGAGTTAAAAACAAAATGATAGATAGCTTTAATATCATTTGAGGAAAAAAAGCAAAAGGAAACCGAGTTCCTCTTTTTTTCTAGATTTGGCTCAACAAAGCTGAAAAGTAAATTTTCTTTAAATTTTAAAGGTGGCTTTGGTCTGGATGGTGTGTGTAAGTGTGCATGTGTGTCAGGCAGGTAGTTGAAAGACCAACCTGTGATGTTTTATCCCAAGTCCTGATGTACCACTGTTATATCTCTAGATATATCTTTTGACTCTAGGAAGTAAACGCAGTTTTTACTGTAAAGGTAAACCAGAAAGTTAAGTTTAAATCAAGTTTGAATATGATTTGTACTTGGAGTAATAAACCTTTTCTCACAAAGGAAACAGCACTGACTTGGGAGTTCGTTTCCAAAAACTCTACTGAACAAGCACAGGTTTGAGCTCACTTTTGTACCTGTTTCTCTGCCCCTTGGTGGGCTCCCTCTACCAGCTTCTTAGGCTTCTCAGTCACTTGCCTACTTGACTTGAGACTCAGCACATGTCTTACGAGTAAAAACAACACAGTGAATGTTGGTTTCATTTCAGTGGGCTTCCTGTCTTTCTGGATCTTGGATCCTCATATCCTGGCTGCCTTAAAAGCTCTCCAAATCTTTGATATCCTACTTTTCTAGTTGTTCTTGGAAGTAGCATTGGTTTGCTGTGAGCTACTTTGTCATAGCCAGAAGCAATAGTTCTTCCGTTTATTTTCTTTGTATTAAAACTGTTTTCTGGATAGAGTATAGTGCAAAATTCTGCTGCCCAATTCAGATTTAAAGAGTGTGGCTGGCAGGTTTGGTGGATAGGCTACGTGGATAAATGGAAGTACCAGGTTTCATTGATTTTTCATTTGCTTTAGTTAGATGTGTTATTTCTTCTATTTTATATTTATTTCAGTGAAGGCAACATTTCAATTATGTATTTAAGTAAATATTTTATTATGGATAGTAAAAATTTCAATAATTTACTAATATTTAAATTTTTATTTGTAAGTGAGTGCAATACTAGAATGCACAGTGAAACCTAAACTCAAAAAAGCTGTATTGTTATATAGTCAATATGAAAAATATGTATGATGAAAGGCTTTTGCAAATGTCATAGTATGTCTCTTATTTTACATTTATTTTCTCTTGAGTAATCAGCATCGTTTAAATATGTCTTTGGATAATTGTGGGAAAAATAAAAGTGTCTTAAAAACTACTCATCTACATTATAGTTTATGGATATATTATAAACATAATAAGACATACAACTTCTACCATTATAATTTATAAGTCAATTATTAACATAAAAAGAATACCCAAATTTACCCTAACCAGAGCATCAGATGGCAAATCCAGAATTAGCAGTAAAACTCCTAGATTCGCTTCTTCCCTATGCTTTTATTTGCTTATTATAATGAAGGACCTTTGGGGCGAGGGTATTTTTACTAACATATATAATGGGAAATCCTGCTCGATAGTCAAGGGAAAAGAACCCATTTTTGACTTATTTTTTTTTCAGTTTTTGCTCTCTGTGGTAGCCCTAAGAATGTACTTCACAGACCTCCAACTACAGGCAACCTAAATGACCAAGGGTCCCAGCTGCTGTTCTCTGAAATCCACTGCTGCTTTTGTGCTGAGCACTTGTTTCCCAAAGGCTGCTCCCAGCCAGTGATTGAGAGGAACAGGGATACTAAAGCTGGCCCCTCCGTGTCCTTGGGAGTCACCTGGCTCTAGCACTTCCTGAGGGGCTTACTGAACCTTCCTTAGAGGGTGTAGCAATCTGGGGTGATTCTACTTAACCTTGCTTGCATCTCTCCACCACTCTGTGTCAAACTTGCATTGTTTTTGTCAGCTTTTCTAGTCTTCCTTGGCTCCCTCCTCATTTTATATTACAGGAATTTTCCTTAATGAAATTCTTGCATGTTCAATCTTATCTTCACATTTATTTTCAGAGGTCCTGGACTAACACATTCTCTATTTCTATAAAAAGATACTATCATATGTAATTACTAAGGACAAAAGATGTTTACTATAATTTTAATGGTAATATTCTGATACTACTAGATTCTCAAATTTAGGGAAGCCAAAACTTCATATAATTGAGAGCTATCCTCAGAAATTTATGCTTATATTAATTTATTGATAGTCTCTATGTAAACTTGCTTTCAGAAGGACTGAATTGCTACCACAGTAAAATCAGGAGCTCATGTTCTCAGAAAATGTTAATTTACTCAGGATAATTAGATGGCTATAAAGTAATAAGCAATCCATAAGTCATCTCTGAGATATGAGAAATTAAAAGGAAATATTTCTGAGGGTGTGTTGATAACTGATATTTTGTTGAAAAGCAGAAAAATTCAATACAATAGGTAGGAGTAAGTTTGTTTTTTGTAAATTGGTAATTCTTGCTTTCATTTTGTGTGACTTACAGGAGAGTGCTTGTTCTTTATATGTTAGTGTTAAAATTCTTCTGTCTTTCTTTGCAGAGTCATAGTGAAAGATTCGTTTTCATTGCAGAGTGGTATGATCCAAATGCTTCACTTCTTCGACGTTATGAGCTTTTATTTTACCCAGGGGATGGATCTGTTGAAATGGTAAATAAGTCTTTCTTTGCTTGAATGTCGGCAAAGGGGGTGAACATGGGAACCATTGCCTTTTATATAATTGCTTTTTAAAAACACATTTATATGTATATGTGTGTGTGTATATATATATGGAAATTCTTTTTGAAAATATTCGTTATAATTTCAATATAAGAAGTTGTGCCTTTACTTTTAATGTCAAAGATAGGAAAATTTTTTTTTGTTGTTAGAAGACTGAAGTGGGGGTCGGGCACAGTGACTCATGCCTGTAATCCCAGCACTTTGGGAGGTCGAGGTGAGCGGATTACTTGAGGTCAGGAGTTCGAGACTAGCCTGACCAACATGGTGAAAACCTGTCTTTACTAAAAATACAAAAAATTAGCCGGGCGTGGTGGTACATGCCTGTAATCCCACTACTCGGGAGGCTGAGGCAGGAGAATGGCTTGAACTCAGGAGGTGGAGGTTGCAGTGAGCTGAGATCACGCCACTGCACTCCAGCCTGGGGGACAGAATGAGCCTCTGTCTCAAAAAAAAAAAAAAAAAAAAAAAAAAAAAAAAAAAAAAAAAAAAAAAGACTGAAATGGGATTATTCATGTTTTGGATAAGAAATAACCAATAAGTGATTATAGATAAGGATTATTATGGTCATAAATATGTCCTCATTGTTGAAAGCTGTTATTGCTACAAAAAGTCAAATTGAGGGGATCAAGCTAAGAGGCTTCTGTTTATTTCTTTGTGTTTCTTCATTGGCAACACAATTTTAACAAGTGAATCTTTTTGGTATTGGGATTTTGTGTACACAAAAAAGCAGAAATTTGGGTGTATGACTCTTTCTTTAGCATTTTGTAAGGACTACTGAAATGATTTGGTAATAAGTCTTTCTATTCAGGGTTTTAAGAGTATTAAATTTGTAATAAAAAGCTTTTATGTTATTACCAGATTGGATTCAGAAATATGGAAGTAATTAAAAATTATGATTTATATTTGTAACAAAAAAGAAACAGAATATAACTTATCTTTGATAAGACAGAATTAAGAATTATTTCTACCTTATGATAAGATTAACTTTCCTTATTGGTAAATTTTGTTTGTTATATTCTTGTGTCTGGTTCTAGCATGATGTAAAGAATCATCGCACCTTTTTAAAGCGGACCAAATATGATAGCCTGCACTTGGAAGATTTATTTATAGGCAACAAAGTGAATGTCTTTTCTCGACAATTGGTATTAATTGACTATGGGGATCAATATACAGCTCGCCAGCTGGGCAGTAGGAAAGAAAAGTAAGAAAACAATTATATAATCTTTTTACATTCTCTAACTTTGGGTTCAAAGTCAATCTGAATCAAGACTGGGGGTATTTAACCATATGAGGATGGATAGGACCTGGAAAATGGTGTCTTCATTCTGTCTTTTTCTTTTTTTCAATTAAAAAAAATTGATAATATCATAGTTGTACATGTCTCATCTGACTTAATTCATATTATGTCTCCTATGGCACTTAGCACATCTTAGAGATACAGTCATCTGTAAAAGGGGCTAAGAAAAAAACGGAAGCGAGAAAGAACAACTTGTAGATACAGCTGAAAATTAGACTTATAGAAAACAAGGACTTCTGATGTTTTCCTTCTGAATATTGATTTTCAGTATTATCAAGATGACTTTTTAACTTTCAATCTCTACATTTATGAATTTCAACTTTCTGAGATTAGAATTAATTATATTTGAAATGAAAATTTAAGTCCTTTGTCATCTCTCTTGGCTCTAATTTCTGTAGCTTATATTTTGTATGGTTTGGGGACTTTTTTTTTTTTACTGTAGAGTGATTGGTGCTATAATTAAAATAGGGATTATTTGTAGCAGTTAAGGCTACATGTATAAAAGGTTCCAAAAATGATTTAATTCAATAGGAAAAACAAATCAGTCACACTATTTTTTGAGATCTGCTATTCAAATGACTAGTTGATTGCCTAACATCTGAGTCACTCTCATAGTAATGAGATATCTCTTTCTGTGACTTCCATAGTCTTTCTGTATAAGCACTTTATGGTTCTTGAGGTGATTGGATTCTCAGTGTGGGTGTTAGTACACAAAGGGTGATGGATCAGAGGGGTGGTGAATGCCTCGTAACAAAGGAAGACCAAACACTTTCTTTGAAATAGGATAAAAATTTCAGGTATTAGACAAATAAACAGGAATCTTTTAATGTTGTGGGATCTTATGTAAAAGTCTATGGAATTAAGGAAATGCCAACCATAATTCCTTGATTTAAAACTAATAAATACGTGTAGCATTCATTTATGGAGCACATACTATATGCCAGACACTCTAATATGCACTTTACATACACCTCAGTTCAAGACTGCTTTATTTTATTTAATTATTTTTTTAGGCAGGGTCTGACTCTGTCATCACCCAGGCTGAAGTGAAGTGGCATGATCATAGCCCACTGCACCCTTGACTTCCCATGCTCAAGTGATCCTCCCATCTCAGCCTCCCAGGTAGCTGGAACTACAACCATGCACCACTATGCCTGGCTAATTTTTTGGTATTTTGCAGGAGATGGGGTTTGGCCATCTTGCCCAGGCTGGAAGACTACTTTAAATTTTTATTTAAACTAGCAAAATAAGTGAGTTAGAGAGTCAGAGTTAACAGTCTGACCTAAGAAAAATAAAATACCAGCCATAAAAATGATAATTTTTATATTTTAACTATGATTTGACTGAAGTGAATGTTGTTAAATCTATTTTATAGAATGGGTAAGTAACTAGTCCACAGTAACACAGCTAGAAAATAAAGGGAAACCAGAAAACCATGCTTTGTTTTTCTCTAAAATTCATTCTCTTTCTACTAAACCTCTAATTAATATGCTGGCAAATACTGTTGAATGGGACTGATTTTAAAACAGGATGAACAGAAGAATTCTATTTTAATGTAAAAACAAATTTGAAGCATTTGGGCTTTATATAGTTACTGAAAATATACGTAGTATATATTTTACTGGCTCAAATTGATTCACCATTTTCTTTTCTTATTCTTTCTTAATTGCATATGGGTTAGTAAATCCAGCAACCATTTGGGTAATTTAAATAAACTTCCTCCAAACCGAAGAGTTTCAAAAATGTATTGTTTTATTTAAATGGCCAAAAGTAAGCATATGGGAATATATGGGTATGTGTATCAGCGCTCCACAGAAACACCTTCTGTGTAACAACTGATTTAGTCTAGTTCTCAGTTTTGTATAGTGTTGAAAAAAATTTATGAACTAATTACATTTTCAACTCTTTTCTTTCTATAGTAAAGCCTGTAGTGAGGAGGATGAGTGAAATTGATCCCCATAGAGCCTATCAGCTAACTGGGGAGCAGTTATCCAGATAATTTAATATAATTCAGCTTAACTCATGAACTAGCTTCAGCTTTCCGATTCCCTTTGACTGTAGAAATCTGACATTTGATTCTCATTTCTATCCTCTCTTTATAAAGATCCTCTAATCAAATGGATAAAGGTTACAAGTTGTCAATGAGTCAGTCTTTGATATTAATTTTAGCTAGTAATCAATTGATACTTTATGATTCTGTTGTTTAGATGTAGAGACACAATACAATTTGTGTCTTTCTAAAAATTTATTACCTCAAACTAGAAATAATTAAATAGTTCTCATATGATGAGTCAGTGTGTATATGTATGCATGTGTATGAATGATAGAGGAATTTTATATGAATAGACAGCTGTTCCCCATGTGATAAGTGAGGTATTAAATGTTTACTTTGATAGCTTATATCTTTAGTAAGAAGTTTATAAAAATCAATGAAAAATAATGCTAGTATCCTATTTAAAACTCCATTAATTTTAAGTACTGAGCCACATATTTACATTCAGCAATCCTCATTCCTTTTGAGTGTCAGCCAGAAAACAAGTCACCTAATCAAATTAAAGGGAGAAAGCATCACTAGGTTGGGTGAACAACATTATAGTAGATGTTAAATACATGAAGTTCTTGAGCCCATCTATTAACTTTCAGTGAAAGGAAGACCCTGCTGTTTTTCAGAAGAAAAATTATGAAGTCAACTTGATCCCAAGGTTTAAGCCCAAGTTATTTGAGGCTCCATCACAGCAGGAACTCAGTCACAGTATGCATTTTCCTGTCCTCTTGGAGATGTACTGAAATGGTATGTGGATAAAAAGCCATAAACTAGGTGAGACCTGTGCTTGGAAGGGGCTTAAGAATACTTCTTCCTGGAGGTAGGGAGATTGACCTAAATAACCTTTTGACCTAAATCAGCTTTTGAGCTTTTAAATACAGCCCCAAAATTCCAAGCATTTGCTTAATTGATAATTTTTCAAAAGCTACTAAAATAATACTTTATATATTTTCTAAACTTATGTAGTTTAACAATTCTTATGGATAAACATACATTCTCTAATATTAGAATTTGACTCATATGAACTATACATTTTTTCTATGTGAAGATTTGTCAGTATCATCAGATACATGTTTGAAGAAATTTCATTGGAAGGAAATGTCATAAAATCTTGGCTATATCAAGTTTGAAACAACTTCCGGGTTCAGGTATTATATAGTTTAACAGGATTACAGTATTGGGATATCATAATTAATGTATAAATGAATTAAAAGACATTTTAACTTTAATTAAAATTAAATTAAATTAAAAATTTTAATTAAATAATTTAATTTTAATAAATGCTAAAAATGTACCTCATCTGTTCTTCCATCCCAACTGGAATAAATAAATTAAGTTTATAATACTTTAAAAATTATTATTCTGTCTTCCCCTGGTTGTTATGGCACTTCACCACCCCCACCCCTACCACTGCTTCCATCTCTGTCTCTCTGGCTATTTTTTTCTCAGAGCCATTCCTTCTCAGAGGCAAAAAAGACTCCTGGTATTCCCCCAGGGTTCTGTTCATGGCCCTTTTTTTCTCATTCTATATACCCTCCCAGGGGATTCTATGTACTCCATGACTTCAACAATGTGTTGCTTTCCAAATTTATGCCATCACCCCAGCTGTAAAACCATATGTTTAATCTTTTTCCTGAACTTTTCCATGTAGATTTTTCACAGGAACTTAAAAATCCAAAATTGAATTAATTAACAAATTCAAAATTAAATTAATTCTCTTTCATTGAAAAACCTACTTATGTATGCACTAACACAACATTCACCTAATCACATACATAGAAAATTGGTAGCTGTCCTTGAGTTCCATATGTATTTTATCCCTAAATCCACATGGGGACCTAATCTTACCAATTTACTTGTCTCCTTCATACATCTCTCTTATTTCTCTTCTCTTTTTTATCTTTTACATTCCTCCTTAAAACAGCTGCTTGTCATCTCTTGAGCTCAGTTAGTCTCCATTTTTCCTTCCAGATTACTAACTGATGAAGAACTAACACAGGACACAGATGTAGATCAAAATATTAAGTATTAATTTTATTTAGGCTGTCTTGTGAAAGCTGTGTTTGAGAATGGTTGAGGTTTTCTTTCTAATCCTATTTCCTCTTCCCTTACACTGATCTGGAACTTAGAAGCCCGTCTGAGGAAAAGGTGGATCTACTGAACAAACTGAGGGCACACTTGCTCAGGGTTCTCATCCTGCCTCCCAGCCCATGGAGCACAGGAGAGAGAGCACTGGAGAGAAACAGGCTTCCACTGCAGGTGCTGGACTCTGACTCTGACATGCTTAACGTGTGAAACAGGAGAACAATACGCTATCCCTTACTTGTACACTATCCCCTACTTGAGGACCTGCAGGTCTGAGAAAAAAGAGATAGGGCCACATATAACCAGAAACCCTTAAATATGTCCAGACGTGGAGGAGGAAATGGAAGAAGTAGAGAGAGCACTTTCTCATGGGAACAGGGATGGAAGTTACTTTACTCATGAGGAGCAAGGGTACACATTCCTAGTTGTTTTCTGGGTTTTATACCTTTAAGCCAATTGGCTGCTATGCTCTAGTAGACTATGGCTACTTCTCGGAGAAGAGACCAGGTGAATATTAGTTTAGTCTTGCTGTCACCTTTGGGAAACCATTCCCTCAATACCAATTACTGTTACTTTGTATATTGTCCTAGGACCAGTGGTGAGCAGTTGAGTTTTGGCTGCTGAAAGGCACCCAAAGAGAAACACCTTAGTTCAGTAACAAAGGCCTTGCTAAAAACTCACCCCCAATCTTTTTCTCATCTTTACTTACCTATAGTATCATTGTCCAAGATGGCATGCTATTGATTATATGACAGACCCAACAACAGCACAACTG